TCCTCCCCAAGTACTTTAAACACAACAAACTCGCGAGCTTCCAGCGCCAGCTCAACTACTTTGGTTTCCGCAAGTGGACCAAGACCCAGTCGCACGTGTGCACGTTCAGCCACCCCGAGTTCAACCGCAGCTCGACGCTCGAGACGACGCCGATCGCCCGCAAGCGCGAGGGCTCGCCGGCGTCGTCGCGGTCATCGTCGCCGTCCATGTCGCCAATGATGATGGTCGAGAGTCTCTCGGTGATGGAGCTGCCGTCGCTCGACCTCCTCGAGGACCTCTTTGGGTCGGATGCGAACAAGCACGAGGACGAGGACATGAGCGTGGACGCGGCTGACTGGGCGGTATGCGCGGACCTGCTGGACGGCAGCGACATGACGTGGCTGTCGACACTCGAGTCACTCGACTTTAGCGTTGTCGTCTGAAGCGATAACAAACCAATCTATTTATTCCGAATTTTTGAGAATCGAAATACAACGCATTTAACTATTCTTTCTTCAAGAGCTTTCTCGTTTTATGTACAATTGCTGCCGAGCTACAAGGCTCAAGACGGCCAGTCACGAGCACCGAGTCACATCAATGAGGGCAACTTTGAGTCGCTCATGGCACTCTAAAATCGCAATCTCAACAAATCGCATGATAGTTGACACCTTGCATATTAATAAACAGAGTTCCAACTGCCAGTATCGACTTTTGAAGTACCTACCGTTGCGCGTGCCAGCTCATTTCCCGTTGCACCTTTTCTTACCATGCCGATCGATACGAATGACAAAGTCATGTACTGCGGAAGTCGCGGCCACGCCAAGCAAGAGCCCGAGCCTTCGACTGTCCCGGCTCCATCAACCCCTTCAACTACCCTGTGCTCGCCGCCGGCCGTGCTCAGTAGCAACGAAGATGGCGACGATGACAGTGACGTTGTCGCCATCACGCCTGTGGCCAAGAGCCTCGACCAGAAGCCTTTTGCGATGGTCGAGTCCCGCATGACGAACGCGCTCGTCAGTGCTCATGGAACCACGCTATTGATTCTCATGCCGTTCTGGATTGCCTAGGCCTTTGACCTCCATACGTTTCTCAAAACGCGGCACGCGGAGGTTGCCCGCACGACGCTGTGGTCGCTAGTCGCAATCGGTAAAAAATTGCCCACGGCGATGGCCTTCTCAGAGTGCCTCGATGTCGTGGAGACCTCGACCCCGTCGTACCACCAGACGGTCGAGATCTGCGCGTTGCTCACCTTCATTTTGACCGTGCGTCGCTTGGTCACGTCATACCCGAGTACCCCGACCAATGGGAGACAGTGGCAGCGCTCCTGCTGACCGTTGCGACCATCCCCATGGATGACACCTGGCACCGGTAGCTCGTTTTTACTGTTACGTGGGCTGACATATCGGTGAGAGTAGGACGATGATCGTGCTGCGCCTCATTGTCTATCTTTTGGCCTGCGATGCAACTGTCATCCAGTCGCGGAAGGGCGGAAGCTCCGCATGGGTCAAGCGAACCCGACTTTATGCAATCATGTCGTCTGCACCGAGCACGTCGACGGACCCGGACGCAGGCGTCAACAACCACGCAATCTTGGAAGCGATCGACGCGATCCTAATGCTCTGGAAGCGCGTGTACGACTCGGACGAAAGCAAGCCGGACGGCGACGATGCCAGAGAGACGTGCGTTGCGACTGTGCGGCTCCTCGAGATGCTGGTCGGCGTCACCGACCAGCTCGAAAACTGCCTCCACCGCATCTTGTACCACGTTGCCGATTTCTCGCGGCCGTCGCGCTGCACGTTTCTGCACGTACTGTCACTATGATTGTCTGGAATACGAGCCACATTTGGTGACTAGACGTTGCAAGAGCCTTACGTGAAGACGTTTCTCGCCACGCTGTACCTTGGCAAGATGGTCACGTCGCGCAGCAAGGTAGATCTTTTCTGCTTCCTCGATCGACATATGCTATCGAGGTGGTGTAGGAGCACGAGTGGTTCCATGCCATCGTCGAAGGCCTCGCTGGGATGAAGTACAAGCCCTGGGCGGGTACAACATTCTGCTTTCAAAATCATATCTCAAGACGCACACAGGTGCCGCGACGGTGAACGACGACAATTTTATCAAGGACCTCAAGCACTTTGCTGGGATGCACGCGGAGACTTTCCTACGCAGAAAGAGCGCCAAGAGCGTCGTGTCGGGCATTTTCAAAGCCGTTTTGAGCAAGTAGCATTTGTCGGACTCGCGGCATCGCCTATGGACCAGTAGCTCAAGTTGACGAGATGGTGTTTAGTCCAACCTCATGACGAACCTTGTTCATCCAAGCAAGTAGTGTGCCCTTGATCCCAGGCAAGGAAGAGATGTATGGGATACGGCCTTTTTTGCAGCCAACTCGCCAACGGGCGCGAATCGTGATTTCTAGGACAGCGCAACGCCCCAGAACCAAATAGAAACTGACTGACATTGTTGTCGACGAAAGTTGTTTTTCATGTCATTTGCCACACATCTAATGGCCGCTAGCGAGGATGTGTTTCACGTAGTACTTCAGTCCGACTACACTCATCTAATGCATGATTCCGCGCGTTCGGCCGCAAGACCGAGATCGCCAACAATTTCCACGTCGTCTTCATTTTCCGATTCGATTCGACATGCGCGCTATGCTTTACAGTTTCTCTGCGTCCCACGGCCGTTGGTTCATCCCCGATGCAACCAAGCTGGTGGTTGGTGCCAAGGACAGCGTCGTCACTCAACCCGATTGGGGCATTGCAGTCTCAGGTCCATGCTACATCCACACCATGTAGACGACAAGCTGCCCTCGCTCTTGATGTAAGGCATGCGTGTCGGTCTCAACTTGGCCAGATTCGTGATGGCCGAGAGCCCGACATGAAACTGTTGCATATCCGATAATGAGCTAGTACGACGCACTCAAACGCGAGGCACTCATACATATACCAAAACAAGCATTTTCTATGCTATCCACTCTCACCCGCGACTTTACATTGCGAGGCAACAGGGTATCGTCAACGATTCAGAACTTTTGTCTTTCGATTCTCGATCATTCGGAATAAATAGATTGGTTTGTTATCGCTTCAGACGACGATATCGAAGTCGAGTGACTCGAGTGTCGACAGCCACGTCATGTCGCTGCCGTCCAGCAGGTCCGCGCATACCGCCCAGTCGGCCGCGTCCACGTTCATGTCGTCGTCCTCGTGCTTGGTCGCATCCGACCCAAAGAGGTCCTCGAGGAGGTCGAGCGACGGCAGCTCCATCACCGAGAGACTCTCGACCTTCATCATTGGCGACACGGACGGCGACGATGACCGCGACGACGCCGGCGAGCCCTCGCGCTTGCGGGCGATCGGCGTCGTCTCGAGCGTCGAGCTGCGGTTGAACTCGGGGTGGCTGAACGTGCACACGTGCGACTGCGTCTTGGTCCACTTGCGGAAACCAAAGTAGTTGAGCTGGCGCTGGAAGCTCGCGAGTTTGTTGTGTTTAAAGTACTTGGGGAGGACCTCGTTCTCGAGGCGCGTGACGTTGTAGAGCTGGATGGCGGCGCCATCGGCCGACCACGAGATGATGCTGGGGTCTTCGGTGGTGAGAATGGAGTAGAGGTGGCGGAGGAACTTGGGCACGCCGGTGGTGCGGGTCTTCTTGGAGGTCGTCATGGTTGTTGTTGTTGTTGTTGTTGTGGTTGGTGTTGTTGGTGAGAGGCAATTGTAAGAATGAAGAGAGGTGTGCAAAGTGAAGGTCGTGTGATAGGAAGGTTCGAGCGCGGTTCTCAAGACACCACGTGGTGACAGGCAAGCTTTTACAGGTCCATCCCGAAACTGCCGAATCGGCGTCTCTCGGTACTGCCAAAAGACACCGAGACGCAGACGATGCTGGCAGACGCTGTGGGATGGACGGTGTGACATGTATCGGCGTCGTCGCTCCCGATTGCCTCGTCCCCGGGAATTGCCATGGCACAAGCGCATGTGCATATCGCAGCACGCTTAAACGTCTGCGACCTGTTTGGTGCATCCCTTGCCAGGGCTGAAGTTTTGCTCTATGACGTAGAGTACTGTGGTGGGCCCGTTCAGTCGGTCAGCATGGCATACAACGGTTTCGCCTTGTACGACTCTCGAGTGGGGTAATAGCCGATTCGATTGACCTCTAGCCATTAGGAGCAGCGCGGCGGGTGAGGATCGACAAGATAGCACAATGACTATCTAACGTACTGTCGACTCGTCGTGTCTATCTGGACGGCATCAACTCAACCTTTACTGCGCCTGGAAGTACCACGTAAGCAAGAGCGAGTTCGGATGAACAGTATATCAACAATGAGTAGGTCCTATAATTGAGCGCGAACGGCGGATCAGCCGCGGTTCGACGACATTCCAAAATCGATGTCTGTGCGGCGCATAGCATACTCTCGACTACCTCGTACGGTAGGATGTGGGTGGAATAGAGACTAGGCATTGGCTATAATTCGGAAATGGAGACCAGGCATTGGTCGATTTTATTTAAACGGCACAGGCCGGAGACGAGGCATTGGTCTAAATTTAAGTAATTCAATCTAGCACTCGAAGTTCGTCGAAGTTCGAAATTCGGATCTTCATATCTTCGACACGAACCCGCCGACCGTTTCGGCCGTTGCATCGGCAGTTACAGAACTATGGACTGCCGCAGCTCCGCGGCAAGTGGCCGACGATGCACGCGCGAGTGAGCGACCTCAATGGCCGGTCGTGCTTGTCTTTCGTAGTGTGCTGTCCAAGCCACACGCGCACAGCTCGCGCGCACCTGTCGCGTGGCGGCCAAGCGAGCGCAACGAGTGGCATCGTACCAGACGAAATCTCCAGCGCCGAGCTCGGAGCTCAATGAGCTACCACGTCTCGATGACCACTACACGACTACGACTCTCGACGACAGCTTGGAGCGACAGTTGCAGCGCGCGATCCCTAGACATGGCAACTCTGCGTGGCGCCACGCCACATTTTGTACAATTGTTGTCACATCCCATACATTTCTGGACGTAGCAGCCATGCAATGGCGAATATAGATCGATATTAACTACTGCTAGTGTTGTCTTTGACGAAGGCAGCAT